TTCCCCCAGAAAACCAGTGCTGAATGTAATGAAATGCTAAATTCTGGGCAAGCCCCAGTTGCTTCTTGATCCCCACCCTCCCTCCCTCCCTCCCTTTGGAACTCAGGTCCCAGCAGGCAGTGGGTTACCTTCCTGCCCTCCAAATGATGGGGGGTGGATGTGGGGGGGAAGCAAGCTCATGCTAGTTCTGAGAGAATTAGATCATTTTACATAGTTGGAGGGAGTTATTTCAGCTAGTTTTAAGAATTCGGTCTCTCTCTTTAATCCAGCAGTATTATCTTCTGACTTGTTGACTTTCTGGTTGCCTTCCCCAGTGAGGTAGCAAAAATAAATGTCACTGCTCCCTGCACTTCTGTGAAGGGGTGAGTTCTGGCTCCAGTCCCCGGTAAGCCACTAGAACTCTATGGCAAATGTAGAGTACATTAAATGGTAATAATCTCAACATATAGATTCAGGGAACCACAGAGGCTCACCCAGAAATTGGGATTTCATTACTTTCAATGCTGAATTTTTATGTTCTTGTGATTTTTGTATTGTTTATTGAAATTTCCAGAAATGTTACTGTATTCTGAAAATGATTGTGAAACCATACCTGGTATATCCTTAATTATTTATTAGAACAAGTTCCCAAGATATTTCATAGAAGATCTTGAATCTAAGAAAAAGGTTTGGGATGTGGGAAAATCGATGAGCCTAGTTCACTTGGTGTCATGATCCTATCTTTGAAAACTAGGTTATTAGGGGCTGGAGCCTGAGAATACTGGCAGAGAGAGAGAGCTCTCTTTACAGATAGGTTTTGTTACTTCTTGTACAGATAGTTTTCGGGCAAGTCATATGATCCCTGGAATACGTTGCCGCGAAATCGTTTTTTCAAAGTACACATTTTGCTCAGAGGCTACAGAAATTGCGCTAAGCCCCCCGGCCAGGATACGAACCCAGACATAGCGCTGGGAAATAATAGGGTATGAATGGTTTTCTTGATAGTTGTCATATGATAAGTTGAAATTAAAATTTTGCTCAATGAAATTTGCCCCCAGAGTGGGAAATAATAGGGTATGAATGGTAACTCCAGTAATATGGCTCAAGCATGTTTTAATTATTTTTGTAGATGAACACTATATTAAGACATAAATGGAGCCTTGCAAAAGCCCTTGAGCATATTTAAAACAAAATTCTATGGTTTGTTTTCATTTTGAGTTGGGCCAGTTTTCGTTCATATAGGTATGGATTCTTGCTTCCTTGAAATTGAAGTTTCAAGGCTGGGGGTGTGGGAAACAAGCTAGTTGCGGTAAAATCTCTTTACACATGGGTTTTCCTGATAGTTGCCATTATATTTCTCAGTGAACTTAGCCCATTGAATGTGGGAAATATTAGGTTATGAATGATGACTCTTTAATATGGGTCTGATTAGGAGATGGTTAGTGCCTTGGAAACGTCATTGAGCATACTGTAATTAAAACTAAATTTATTAGTCTATATTGATTTTAAGTTTTATATAAAAGAAACTAGAAAATTTGGCAATAAGCATCCAATAATGGGCAAATTTAGGGAAATCTGATCTTTACACAAATCCAGATTGGGTCTTGAATGATATAATCAGGAGTACTGAGGTGGGCTTGTATATGGTATGGTGCCAAGATACTTGATGCCTAAATTTGGTTACATATCTTAACTGGTCTTGCAAAACTGTATATATATATAACAAATAAACTCTATAGAAATTGGCTCTGTACTAGAAAATCCTTTGCAAATGAGATTACACACTAGGATTATCTACTATCATGAGTACTCACCTAGTTATCCTTGCGGGGGTTGAGCTTTCTCTCTTTGGTCCCACCTCTCAACCGTCAATCAACTGGTGTACAGATTCCTGAGCCTACTGGGGCTCTATTACTAACTGAGTGTACAAATAGCTGTACCGCTACATTTATTTATTTTTAAGCTGTTCAAATAATCTACTACTCATGGACCAATAACAATATGCGACCTTATTTGCACCACCATACACAAACAAGTCTGTAAACATTTAAGGGGACGTGAAAGCATTCTCCAGATTCTGCACAACGACTGAAAATTAACCAAAAAAATTAGTCATTTTTTTTTACATGATTGGAGGGTCTCCTTACTGGGAATTCCGAGTTATAATATGAACTTCGATAATGTACAGAGAAATGCAGATTTGCTGAACATAATATATTAAGTACAACTTTTAAAGTACAGTACCAGTACTACTAAAGGCTATATTCTTATATTGTATTGCCTTGAGTAATTCCATCATTATTAAGTTGTATTGCATTGCTATGTAGTTGCATTGTTCAGTCATTATTAAGTTGTATTGCATTGCTATGTAGTTGCATTGTTCAGTCATTATTAGTTATATTGCATTACTATGTAGTTGCATTGCAAGTACATTGTGCTACTAGGAAACTACCAAACATACAGTAGTTCTAAATCAACTTGATACATCTAGCAATTTATGGTTATTGTTAAAAAATAATTAATTTAACAAAACTACTGTAGTTTCAGTTACTGTATTAACAACTAGGGATACATCATGGAGCGAGTTAAAGACAAATTTGTACTACAGTACTGTAGTTCACTTATTCAGCACTCTTGTAGTACATCAATAATACAGCATGTACATAATAATTCAAACATATGTATACAGCTAAACCAGATCGAAGTACTTAATAAATTAATAAAAATACCCATCAAGACGATTAAACATGGAACATGACCTGGTCTCATACACTTAGCATGATGTTTTTACAAATATTCTATAAGTTAATCATAAATTATTCATTTTTTGTTACACAGGAGGGTAAGCCCCCTAGCCTCTATCATATTCTGGAAAGGAGCACCCCCTGATTCTGCTTCTGCCACTCATGCAATCATTGGAGATATCAACCCAACCACAGCCCAAGGTCAACAAAACCATGGCCATCCCCAAAGACACATTGCAACTGGCAATAAAGAACAAAACCAATATGCACATGAGTGATGTAGTGAGATATGTTCAATGTTAATTTGCGAGGAAATAGCCTACTATACAAAAACAGCATGGCAGCCAATGGAGGAACAAGCCAATGGTCAATGTTAATGAATATGGGCTAATGCCAGTGGTATCACAGCACAAAACAGCTAAGCAGCCCAGACCAAAGGAGATTGAGATGCTGAGTGAACCAAAGCTGGCTGAACTGGCAGAGGCAGCTGGCTGGTATGAGGTACAGGTGGCAAAGAATGACCACTCGTAAATTTCTTAAAAAACAGCGAGGGATCAGCATTCACACCAGCTACTGAAGATGGACTGCAAAACCTTCATTCTGAAGCCCAGAATTAGTAAGGTGGCTGCAGCCTGGTTTGCTACCCAGCGAGAAGGCAACTCTGCCAAATCTAAAGTCCAGCGCCAACTAACAGCACATACTCATGGGTGAAAGGACACCTGAAAATAGAAGGCCACATAGCAGGCAACAAGAATGATCATTTGGGTAAAAAAAAAAAAGAAGCAAATCCTGGGAAGCTGCAAGCTACAGTTGGTCACAGAATCAGATGAGGAAGCTATAACCTAGATAAAAAGATGTACTGTACAGCACTACTAAACAATAATTTTCCCCATGGATAAGGGAATACGCTGATGTGACCTGTTATACAGACAAGCAGGGAAAGCATCTCTGCAAATCAATCACCAAATCCCAACCTTCGAACACATGGAAAGGAAGGTCATTAACAGTCACAAATCATGAAGAATCACATAAGTGATCAAATGTGTTCTCAGTTAAAGTGCCAAATCCCTAACACACACGGAACCGGACCCCCATGGTAGGAAGATCTTTAATACCTGGTTGATACCTGGTTGATGGGGTTCTGGGAGTTCTTCTACTCCCCAAGCCCAGCCCGAGGCCAGGCTCGACTTGTGAGAGTTTGGTCCACCAGGCTGTTGCTTGGAGCGGCCCGCAGGCCCACATACCCACCACAGCCCGGGTTGGTCTTTGCTGTGCACAACTGAATATCTCGTAGTAATTATATTTGGCATTTTTGTTACAATAATTCTCATACACTGCCCAGAAGTGACATGACTTGAGAAGAGTCAGTTCATAGAGGAGGTAGCCCATAACTCCACAGAACAGGCATCTTTTATGCAGTACTGTACACAAGCTGCAAGCTGATCCCAGGAAAAGTGACCAAGGTCACAGTCAGAGCAAAATGGAATGCTAGGGCACACTCAGTGTGGCTGGCATAAACACAACCATGAATCTGGATACTAACAAAAACCAGAGCAACTGCTTCTGGTGGAACTAATGTTTCAATGAAGGCCATAATCATTTAACTGAATAGCAAGAAGTAGGTGATGAGCCCAACATAGATTACAAGTGCTGGATTGATTACATCAGGCAGAAGTGTGTTGGGGAAGGTTGGCCAAAACCTCAGATGGCCTGGGCTGGCATTTGGCGACAGTCGGTGCATCCCATTTAGGGTATTTACACCAAGGCAACAGTTGTCTGCTTTATTTACCTAGGGGTGCCCAATTTTCTTCAAGCAATTATTTGGTTTGTTGCACTTATGATTTCAGGTGGGTTTTCCCCAGTTTTGTGGTTGATCTCTGACCTGTTGTTCACTTCACCCCCTACAGTTAGCAAGATTCTAGTCCTGGCTCACAGTAGGCAACAGATGGGTCATGGAGCCCTGATGGGTTGGGCTAAGGCTTGGTGGTACCAGTTCAGCTCAGAGCCACTGAAAGGTCACTCCTATAAAATAGATTTAATTGTTGCTACTGCTGTGCACATTATATACTGCCACAGTTGAGGACCTCCCAGATACAAATAAGTGATTCTTCACCTGCCACTGCCCTTTCCATGTAACATTTTATGTTTGTATAAATATACATTATAGAACTTTTTATCTTTACTTCCCCAACAACCTCAAACATGAGAGGGCTGGTTATGGAAATATTAAGATTTTTTTTATTAATCAATAGAAGGTTATTATAATAAAGCTTTAGATAAATTTTACTGGTTATATTTTCAGTATAAAAACTGAAATACAAAAATTACAGTTGCTTAAAGATTCAAGCATAAATGGTAAAAGTTTTGAATAAAAATTAACAAATAAATACATGTATTATGCTAATTACACAAAACCTAGTAGCTAGGAAAAAGTGTAGTTTTGTCATTGTTTAAAAGACTATGTTACTCATTCATCTCCACTTCTTAAACCTAATAGTAAAAGTTCTTGGTTGGGGAAAAATTATTTACGTTTTTGCCATAAACGACATGTCTATGCACACACACAGCCCACCAAGAGGTGGGAACTCCTGCATGCTGCAAGTGCCATGGTGGGAATACAAAGTTAAGCCCTTCAAAAAAATATGACTGTTTCCTTTGTCAAAAGGTGGAAGCACATTTAATGGCACTATTATATTTTGAAAATGATGCAGTGGACAAGCAATAATAATTTAGTGCATCAAGTTCATATTATTCACACATGTAGGCCTACCTATTTTACATCTCAGCAGTATGTATCTCTTTGCACTGCGGTATTGTACAATACCTGTGAGCATAAAATAATCATTAGTAGATACTGTTGCTCCGATGAGAATTACACAAATATGTACATTAAATAAAGTGATTTAATTCAACATTTTTAAAAGACTGCTTGCTTGAGGCTATTCTGTACTCTTTCTGTGAAGAAAATTTCCCCTAAGTAACTGTTAAACATATTTAACAGTAAACTGGAGTTCTTCAACCACAATTAATTTGCTTTAAAAAAATAAGTGCAACCCAACTCTTAAATTAAGATACAGTATTGAATAAGCAGGAAAAAGAAATAATTTTGTGATTCTTCATGTTCTCCAACAGTATTTCCAAAAAACAATTTTTCAAACATCAACAAATCACAGAGTGTTTGAAATGAAAGTATATCTGTAAAATATGATACAACACACAACCAAATAACACATTAATGTTCTTAAGAACACTGTAGTCAGTGTCTTCTTTATGAATTACAGAACTGTAGGTGAAGTGAGCTTTTTTACCATACACTTTTGCCTGCTTTCTCAATTTCTCAAAATTCATATGGTGTAGGCTAAAAGTAAATACAATGTATACGATTCTAAACATGCAGAGTTCACCAGGAATTTTTACCCGAATCTCATTCACATTAACTAATTTATTGTTACGGGCAGCCTAATAAATGCTTACGTAAGATTTTGTCCTTCAGATGTCATTTTTTTTTAACTAATATTACAGTACTGTGCTACGAAAGTTATGCATCTATGCAACAGACACCAAATATGTTATAGGAAATTTAGAATCTGCATAAAGCAATTGTGGAATTCAGAATCTTGAAGAATTATCTGTACAGTACGGTGTGGTATACAGCTCCTATACATTCAGGTACTGTACTGTATTGTATGTGCATTTATAAACACATTTATTGTACAACAAAATTCAGTGTAAGCAACTTGGAAGATTATTATTATAATGATCAAATTTGGGCATATAGAACTCAAGAGTTATTCAGTGCAGACCAATAATATGATTGTTATCATTCTAATTATTATTTAAAAAGATTGTGTATTTTAACTAGAGGTACACAATATGAAATCATACCTGCAGAATTTGCTAGATTCTAGAAGTAATCTAACTTCTAATATAATATACCAAAAGCACTTCTTTCGTAGGTAAAGTCATTTACTGCATTATTATATATGACAAATGCATCTGAAGGAAAATATAAAGCTCAAGACTATCAACAGAGAGTAAAGACAAACCAAACATATTAATAACCAAGGAAAAGCTATTCTAAAATATATGTCATAAAATACAGTTTGTCAATGCAGTACTGTATATTATTTCACGATGCAAAGAAGACCACGGGAAATATGTGTGGTTGAAACACGTTAGAAAACAAACTGTCACCCTTTTCTATGAAGCAATTGTGCCACCTAAATTCTAACACCACCTATGCTTTCCTACTAAACAACTACGTATATACATTAATGTACTATGAGCTGTTTGATACGCCAACAAGATTATGCTCATTACTAGATTTTATAAACTCTGCAATCACACAACAAATGTTGTTTATTCTAATTGTCTCCAGATGGAAGAGCAGTCTTTTTTTTTGTATTTCATAAACTTGCATGTTTGATTATAATCAAAACTTTTTTTTTCCAGAGCCATGAGTCTGCTTCCAAAGTCAAACTATACATTATGTTAAGTTAGAAATAGGGCCTCTTGGCCCTTTTATCAAACCTAGAAATAGGGCCTCATCAATAACACACAAATAATTTACAAGCCTCTTCCTTAACAGTCAACTCTATTCATTATACCATACTTAAATATGTTAAACAAAGAAACCCTAATTACTTTATTTGTACTCCATTTCTCAAGTCATATTGACTTTAGATTTTCATATACTGTACTCTCAGGTCCATTTTACAGTACTGTATCCCTAAAGTACCTACAAAAATAGCTATTTTACACATTTTCTTAATTCTTTCTCAAACAGATGAATAAATTAATATGTACTGTACTTGAAAGCAAAAAAATACATGTACACAGTCTGGTGAACAGTGTCATTAGTATCTATTGTACTCAAATGCAACAAGATGATTGTGTATGATAGGACTGAACCCATATTCCTGAACCTCCTCAGAGACACGCACAAGTCCAGGAAAACGTGTTCAATCCCATTGACCAGCTACAAAATTTTCTCATTGGTACATCACAGGTGTGCAAGATGACACCTATTCATCACAGATGATGCAGACTGTGCACATACAGTATATATATGTATATGTATATGTATGTGTATGTGTATGTGTGTGTGTGTGTGTGTGTGTGTGTGTGTGTGTATGTGTGTGTGTGTGTGTGTGCATGCGTGCGTGCACACACACATGCATGCTCACATGTAATAAACTGCTTGAAGTGCAGTTCTATACATTTCAGTTACAGTATTTGCCGGCATACAAGACACACTTTTTATTTTTAAATGTATAAAAAAATTGTCCTGCATTTAATGCAGCCATATTACGGATGGGAGACTGAGCGCCGTAGGCTAGGGAGCCAGACGAGCATACTGGGCAAGTTCGCTAGGCACAAAAATCTTTGCTAATAATAAAAGTATTGAAAACAAGCCAAATTATTACAGTAAATTGTGTTACTAATAATAACATATTGAAAACAAGCTGAGTTATCGCAGTCTGTTATTACAGTACAAACTTAGGAAACGTCGGCAGTTATGCAAGAAGCTCACATCATCTCACCACCTTACCCAGCATACATAACCCACACCTGACATATGTCATATATTATTTAACGACCATGTTACCTTTAAGAATCCAGAACCCATGAGTTACAGCCCTGCTCCTGTGCCAGGTCATAGCTAAGCCACTACGGGCTCACCGTAGCCCGTGCTACTTGAAACTTTTCTTCCAAGTAGCTGAACCTAAAACAACAACTTTAAGAAACATTTATTCATTATCTAAATGAAAAATGCTCCTAGAAATTTTAAAGGAATGTTAAACTTTCATCAGCCTGTCAGGCATTTGCAATGAATGAATGACAACAAATCTAGAACGCTTTGATGGTGCACCAGCACGGGGAGCGCTACCCTGGTGGCCTGATGCGGCAACACAAAACATCACATCCAGAAATACAAGTTTCACATCCTGTTTATCAATCTCTTGCCCAAAATATAAACAACTATACAGCTGTTCTTAGAGGAGGTAGGAGCAGGGGTACAAAATCCACTTTAAAATATATTTCAATACATGTATGATGAAACATGCTAAAAGTTTTTTCCACAAAATATCCTTGTAAAATAGGTGTGTCCTATGTGAGAGTGAGTCTTTTACACCGGCAAATACTGTAACTATGTAATTTTTAACTTGCATTTGCATCTTTTGTTTTAATAATTAAGCAACAATTTACTTATTAAAGTTTAGTTTCTACACACAGAAACCATGGATATTTCATCATTTTACTATGGTTATCTCTATCCCATTTCCCACTGTCAATTGGTGGGAACTGTTATAGTAACTGAAAATTATGCTTTTGAGATATGGTATCTATTTTAATATTGTTTTCAATATTATCAATAAATATTTCATACATTCAAGACAAGACCACCTGCAGCAGCTCTATCAAATTTTGGGGAGCTAAAAAATTGGCTAAGACTTTTGAAATCTAATCTAGTGGGGTCTATAGCTTCAAGTAAGGGGCTTCAGCCTCTCCATAAAACTGGCACTAAAAGATCAGAGCAATAGAGCTTTGTATTTTGTTCCACCACCTAGTGACCCCTTAAGAAAATATTGTGATCAACCTGTTCTCTCACTTAATATGTTGTATTTTTGACAGAAGCGACCAATCTGTCAAAAATGCAACGTATTAGGAAAAAAATTAAAGCAAAATAATTTTAAAGTTTTCTGTGCATCGGCCACGTTAGGTCTGGTGGGTTGCTAGGGTTCGTACATTTCTGGTTGGGTGAACTAGTTATATTCTTTGACAGCAAATCGAGAGAACAGGCAGAATCACAAGCAATGCATTTTTGGATAGTTGAGCAGCTGTTGATGTTTTGCGTCAATGTCAGCAGTGATGTGGAGCTCAGTAGTGGGAAGGAACAGTGACGAGAGCATCCTTGGGATTCCTTCCAATGCTGCAGTCCTGTGGGGATAAAGTATTACAGCCCATAATGTTGGCTGTGCACTGATATAAAAACTCAAATATAGCTTCACATGAGTGTTTTTAAGAGAAATCATCTGGTACCGAGATTTTATAACAAATATATTCAATGCAAAACTCAAATATGCCTTTCAATATTTGAAATTATTTGTTTAATGGATATCTTGCTTTAAATCTGCCATTATTTTGTTACTAAAAAAATGATTTTACTAAGAAAATATCTAATAGCTTCAACTGTTGTCTAAATATGCCTACATAGATTGAGAGTTTAAAAAATACAGTAAAAGAAAGTGTCAGATGAGCTGGAAAATGCAGCATATTTTATAAAGTCAGAACATCAGACACCTGCAAAGCATGGGGTTTCAATGCATAAAAAGCTATATGTATATGCTTAAGGAATTCCTGTTAATTGCACTGCTGTGACACCTAGGTTCAGTTCCTAAGCAAGTAATCATTAAACCACAAAGAAAAACAAATCAGGAAAACTAATAAGCATTATTATTAATTTCATGATTTATTGCACAAAGACATATGGCACATAAAATATTGCTTATGGAAGCCACTAAATTTTAACAATTAGGTAGTTCATAATCTATAATTTTTTTGCAGATATGTATTAACAATTTCTACTTGTAAGCAGAAATACTGTGCCACAGTAACATCTATGACATGGCTCTAATTAGGATGATCAAGGGCCAAGCTTAACAATTTCTCTATCTCTGATGCCTACCTCTGAGGAAGCAGCTCCAGCATGTCTTCAGGCAGGCATTTTATAACGAAATCTTAAACCGTTTTATGTCGTGTACCCTCGTATGTTTTTTCTTGTACTGTATGTATGCCAACAATTTTCCTTTCTATGGTGCTGGTTGTATACCAATCATTAACTCCTTGGCATTCACTTAGAATATACAGTATGTTCTTGCAATTGTGTTCAACAATCTCTGCATAACCATACCATTCTAAAGAACAGGCATTTGTGCTAGTCAACTCACTACTCTACTTCTCGTGTCTTTGTCTGCCATTCAGCATCTTCCATACACTTCCCCATTACTGTATTTATTCCACCCCATTTACTGATACCACAAGTATTTCATAAACAGCTAATTTCAACAGCCTGTATTAGCTCATTATTTCATAATTATGTATTGCTTCAACACATTGGGGTTGGCAGGAGTGTCATGTCACAATCATATTTTTCCTATGTATACTTTAGTAACAAACCTATGTAATTAAATTCCTTGACCTTTACCAAAGCTTCATCCTCCATTTCAGTTTAACATTCCATCATATTGTGTTTGTGTATTCTGCAAGGTGTAGTAAAATCCCCAACTCTACCCCTGTTGTCTTTCAAAAGCCACCAACTCACTTCTACAGTACTATACTGACATTTAACAATACTGTATATTTCTTCCACTGGAGAATGTGCTGAACTCATCACTTGCACTCTCTTACTACTGATACATAACATAGTCTTGCTCCAATGTTTACTTCATACCTTCCACTCAATCTCCCAATCACTTTTACACTTTTTCATTTGTTACAAATGGACTGTACTTCACCTAGCAGTTCCCTACAGTATACATTTTCCAAATCTTACACAATCTTTGTTTAATAAAGTTCTTATCTGCACGTTCTTGACCTTTCCTAAAACCTCTTTCCTCATCTTACCTCAATTCACTTACCCTCTCAACATAAAACTTCTTTCATGCATTATTACTTCCTCACTCTCCTATTTATTATATAATTTATCACTGTTTATTTCTACCCTTAACATTCCTTCTCTACACATGCATACAAAGGTACTTTCTGAATAATCTAGCAATGAGGCAATCAAAAGTGCTTCCTATCCTCTTGCTAATAAAATTATTTAGCATTTTACTATAAATCTTGAGCATAAATGGTATGTGAACTACTACAATGCCAGTAACTCAAATGAGAAGGATTAATTCCATAAAAGTCAAGATAAAAGTAAGTTTATCATTAAAAGAATGTGCTCAGCTAGTATGGCTATGCAGAACTGCATATAACAGAATATAAGAGGTCCTAGCAATCATATGGGATGACAATACGAGAGCGAAAGACATATGATGAACAATATCAACAGAGTCAAATTCACAAGGATTTTATCGAGGGACAAACGATTCGAAGGAACAACATTAAAACAAAATTTTTTCCATCCTCAAAATCGGGATGTAAGGTGCAGGCCTGTTTCATTAAATGCCTATGAGTTAATCACGTGTGGCAAGAAACATTTCCCACTTCATGTTTCAGAGAAAGGTCATGGGAATAAATCACATTTAATAGTACATAATTTGTTATTTGTAATAGCCAACCATCTATCTTTCCAACAGCTGCAGATTCCTTCATTAATGATAGGGTAAATATCTGAGTAAGGAATTCATGTCTGGGAGACAGGCCAGGCACGACAGGGCTCTAGCAGTGGCATCCATGAGATTATGGAGACAACACTAATATGAATGGGAACCCATCAAAAGTCAATCTTCTGTAAATGAAAAGTAACTCTTAGAGCACACAAAAAATACATTAAGCTCTACAGTAACAATACTTGTCTGTGGGAAGGCAGCACATAAATATTTTCATCAGGAAAAAATGGAGAATGCCAATGCCATCATATTTCAATCTATCTTTACATAAAACAACAATACATGGATGACAGTGAAAGTGTTCAAGGAAAAGGTATTTTAAGACAGAGACTTACAGTACAAGCCTTCACCATAAGGCTGTAGCAACTACATCAGATTACTGTAGAAGCTACATCAGCACTGTTAGTAAGTACTACTAGATCCACACACCTTCACCAGTCAACAAGCAGCGTTGGTCTGAACTGAGCCAGTGGACAGATACACAAGGTCACGAGAGCACAACATCGAGATCATTGCCAGTTCATCGCCAACAGTACCACCACAGAGCAGCCAGGAGCAACACCACCTTGATCTGCCTTTATCCAGCCGTCTCAGATAGACAGAAGACTTGGCCTACAGCTGCCAGCCGTAACCTGACTGCCACCAGCTGAGATTTGACATAGCTGTCACCTTCACTCTACAGTCTCATCTTGTGGTACGCTGTGTTCCAACACCATATATCAACCATTTTGACCATATTTTACCATACTGTGTGTTTACTATTCTGTCAGGGTACCTAAAAGAATTCAGACACCCTCAATTTATAGTCAAATCATCTCCACAGTACAAGGCTTTAACAAGTGGGGTTCTCCACTAGGGCACAGTGCGAGGGGACACATCAGAAGGCCATGCAGAGATGAATTCTGGAATGCATTTAAGTGAATTATGTTCACCCTTTGGAACTTCATTCTCAGTGTAAAGTAGCTATTTTCTGATGGATATACAAAATATTTGTACATCGCTGGACATTGTATACCAAAAGAAACATTTTTAGTTTGAGCTGCTGAAATCAGCAATAGTCTTCTTTCTCTTGAGTTTATCATTATATTTACTATATAGCTCCTTGGTACCTTGTACTGAAAGATAAGTGGGTGTAATTACAGGATGAGAGGTGTCCAGTCTTCCCAGTACTCTGTCATATAAAACTTTAAACTACTGATAGTTTTGCCCTCCACAGCCTTCTTACTTAACTGGTTCCAACCTTCTACCACTATTTGCAAAGGATACCTCTAATAATTTTTGGCGCCTTTGTTTCCTTAGCTTGATTCTATGATCTCTTGTTCCGAAAGTTACAGCGTTCAAGAATTCTTCTTTATAAATTTTGTAAATTCTTGTTTCTATTTTGTATGTAATTATCATATTACCTCTTTCTTTTATCTTCCAGCTTTGGCATACAGTATTTAACTCCTTAAGCCTTTCCTCGTAGCTCTTGTTTTTCAGTTCCAGAAGCCATTTAGTGGCATATCTTTGTTCTTTTCCAGTTTCTTTGTGTATTTCTTAAGCAGATCAATATGCATACAATACACAAGTTACCCTTACTAAATCATCTGTGTGTGTGTGTGGGGGGGGGGGGGGCACACTGTTATCCAGTGGCATTGCCATGGGAGAGCTGGTATGTGGCTGTATTTATTTGAGTGTTATTTGTTTTGGTCACAGGCTACCCTCACGCTTTCATGTCCTTGAGGAAAGAGATTAAATTAGGCTTGGCCACCAGCTCTTGCCTTGACATTTAAGCCTCCTCTTGGTATTGTACTAGGCCAGACATCCTAGTTCCAGCCAATAGTTTTGCTTCATGTTAATTATTGTATAACTATACAGTGACTGAACAAAGGCTGCAAAGTGCAGCATTTACATTTCTGGATTTAGAATCAGTTCTATCTTGGTGCGAGTTCTATTCGCTGCATGTAGGTTACAGACCTGCTCGAATTACCTTCTCAGCAGTCTGCTTATAAAGCCACTGGTAAGCTACAGCTTGTGCAGTGATGCATCAATGCTGGAGATCTCGGATTACAGATTTCTGAGGACATGGCCCCTCTGGTTCAGTCAACTTGTAAGTTGATACACCTCAAAATTGAAGGGGCTGTGTTTGAACCCTAAATGACTATGGTGTTATCTTTAAAAGAGCTTGCAGGATGCCTGCAAGCCCTGCAAATGTCCTGGAACCTTCTTTCCTGCAAGCCCTTTTAAAGAAAACACCATAGTTATTTAGGGTTCAAACACAGCCCCTTCAATTTTGAGGTGTCTCAACTTACAAGTTGACTGAACCAGAAGGGCCATGTCCTCAGAAATCTGTAATCCGAGATCTCCGGCATTGATGCATCACCGCACAAGCTGCAGCTTACTGGTGGCTTTATAATATATATATATAAATAAATAAATAAGATGAAATGCTATGAGAGAATGTTTGTCAAAGTCTTCAGTCAGATAAGTGCCAACTTTTCAATTTATACACCAGGATATTTTGTGTATATACAGAGTCATATGTTCATATATAGTGATTCACATGCTCATATATATTGACTCACATGCATATATAGTGACCCGCATGCTCCTACTGTA